TCTCGACCCTTTGGTGTGCAGGCTGATGCTCTAACCATTGAGCAACACTGGCCAGGGTGACATGCAGGGTGTTAAAGATAAAGCAAAAGAGTGCACAGGCAATGATAACCCACTGAAGTCCTCGGACCGTAACATGAGAGTGATCCGGACAAGTGCTTCTCAAACTGTAATGCATACAGGAGTCAACTGGGGATCCTGTGAAAACAGTTTCAGGCTCAGTATGTCTGTGTGGTTCCTGAGGGTCAGCACTGCTAACAAGTTCCTCAGTGCTGCTGATTCTGCGGATTCCGAGACCACACTGAATCACAAGCATCTCCAATATGTACGTAAAAGTACGCAGAAATCATGGAATTGGGTAGGAGAAACAGTTTAGAATGTTAACTTAATTTTCATAGTGTGTTTATTATTCATGACAAAAAGGGTAAGACATCCTTGATTTCCAGATTTTTAAATCTTTTTATTTGTTTAACTATAGTAGCAAACACACACACACACATACACACACACACACACATATTTTTACAAAAATCGTTCAGTGTTCCTTATAACAGAATTAGGCTGTAACAAGATAAAATGTGATTGGCATCTGACTTCTTAGTTAATTCTAGAAAAAGACTGAAAAAAAGTCAAAGAAACAGTAAAAGACAGAGTATGATCTGGAGAGGAAAGGTGTCGCTGAACCTCTTCAGTGCATCTCTGACCCTTCCCCCTGCAAACAACAAGGCAACCCACAAACAAACCGACACAGGCACAAAGATCCTTTAACCAATTCAAGCTGCGGTGATCACTGTGTCAGGGATGAAAAACATCCCAAGCAGTGAGAACAGCACTATGAGAAGACAACAAGGTTGGGTGGGCCGCCGTGAAGTCCAGCCCTCCTGAGACCCTTCATAAGTGGTTGCCCTTAGGCAGGTCATTTCATCTCTGGGTTTCTTCATTCATAAAACGAAGCCAATAGTTCCTCCCTTGCCTTCTCCTGTGGCTCTAAGGATCGGTGTGAGAGCAGGTGTAAAAGCAATCACACGCAGTGCTGTTGGGGGCTCAGCGTACTCCCAGGAGGCACCTGGTACCTGGAAAATAGTTCCAAGTCACTTGTTCCTCAAGGCCCCTTAGTCTCCCAGGATGCCTTTCTTTTTATTTAAACATCTAAGATGCAACTTTCTTCTGGGGAATATTTCTAAATTCAGGAGAGATGCTCTGCATACCACCACTTACCCCAAGCCCGAGAAACAGAATTCTGAGTTTACCCAACATGCTCCTGCCAGAGGAACCGCATGCTACAATTTAGTAAGAGGCACATGCGCAATCTCTGCGCAGGAGCTGAAGGACTATTTTAGCAACAGGCAAGCCAGCATAACGCACTGGGGCCTTCTCTCTGCTGCTCAAGGGCTGTGTAACTCTTCTGAGCCTTGACGTCCTCGTGAGTGTACTGGAGGTAATGTGTCCTATCCCAGACGATTGCAATGAAGACTGACTGAAATGAAATAGAGCACTTTTTGTTTTTATCCTCACCCAAGGACACTTTTCCATTTTTGTTCAGATAGAGTGGGAGGAAGAGAGAGAACAGAGAAAGAGAGAGAGAGAGAGAAACATCAACGTGAAAGGGACACATCGAGTAGGTGCCTCCCGCATGACCCCAACCAGGGCTGGGGACAAATTGCAACAGAGGTATGGTGCCCTTGACTGCAATCAAACCTGATGTTCTAACCACTGAGCAAAACCGGTCAGGGCAAAACACAGCACTTTTTAAACTATAAAGTGCTATAGAAATATGATTTATTATTTTTTTCAAAAACAAATTGGGAATGCCTTATATATTTTCATTTCTCTTTCTAATCATGGAGTTTTACTCTGCCCCACTTGTAAATATCCCGTACTTTGTGGTTCAAGTTTAAAGGAATAATCTAACCCCGTAAGTGTGTGTAGCCATCGACAATTGGGGAAGTAATTGTCCAATAATAGATGAATGACTGAGTCACTTTACAAAAACTGCATGATAAACACAAGGAAAAACCTAAGAGAAGTGCCATTTAGAGATCATCAGGATTATATGTATTATGCTAATACAATGGCAAATGCACGGAAAGTCCTCATCACAATACTTGGTACAATTTACGTGCTCAATAAATGTTATCTATTGTACTATAATAATCTTTGGCAAAAACGCATGGAGAAAATCTGCAATAACATATAGCAAATATTAATAGTGGCTGTGCTTTTTCAAGAACAGTGAATTTCTAGTGAACTAAAGAACATATTCAAACACAGTCACAAATTAAAAAAATAAAAAAGATAAAATCTACTCAAGTCCACCCATCTTCAGTGCTGGTGAGTAGCAGAGCAAGCTAATGTTACTGAATGACACAGCTGTCAACTTAGAGCCTTGCACAGCAGCCCACCTGAACTAATTCAGATGGCATTCCTACAAAAAATGCTTTTACTGACCTAATGTGATTTAAGCTTCTATAGAAGGCAAGATAATAAAAATCAGGATTATTCTCCTTTTTGATAAACTACTTATAAAGACAGGATCGAGACCCATATGTAAAACAATCTATTCAACATCTCTGTGGATGCTCTAATGGAGATCTCAGATACATTTTCCCCAAATCTGTACTCAACAAGTTCTGTAAAGAGTGAATGACAAGATTGTTTGGGAGGAGAAAGTGAAATTATGTGCACCAACTTCCTTTTATGATGTTTGGCATATGGTGGTTTCTCAATCAAGTGGAATGTTTTTATTCTAAACCTGGAATAGTGGCCCAGCCAACCCATCAGTTTCCCAGGACAAAGCCCAAGAGTGACCCTGGACTCCTTCCTCCTAGATGATTAAACACAGAGGTCCACCAAGCTCAGCTACCAGTTACCAGTTTATTGCCTCTCAGTTCTAAATGCACCCTTTAGTATATGCTCTATGATAAACAGAATTCTTTGAAGCATGTTTCCTTTTAAGTGTGTACCATGTTGTCTTGTGCAGTAGACAGCACTAGATGGATGGAGCAGGAAGAAGAGGATTCCGTCCTTCCCAGCTTGGGCTGGCGGGTCCACAGGGTAGGTATGAGAACAGCCAATGGCTTCGGCCTCAGCCTCAGGCCCAGACTACAGCCCCTCTACAACCTTGTAGCCTCTGCCTGACATCACCTTTCCTCAACCACCTGCCTAGTCTTCATCCACTGATCAGTAAAAAGGGTGATTTTTTTTTTCTTTCTGAATTGAATAACAGCTTTTGAATGTTGGAGGAATATTTCCTCAATATTTTTTGTGCTATTACAAAACAATAAATCAAGCTCTGACCTCTGTTATACGCTGATTGCCATGGTGTAATCACTGCCACCAGGGTGAATTCTGAGCTGCCAATGTGGCATCACTGGGTTTGCAGTTGGGAAGAGATAGGTAGCAAGCAGCACACCGTCATATGGTATTTTCATCACACAGATGTTAGAGGCATAAACAACCCCAAGACCGTACGTAACAGCAAAATAATCAGAAAGCAAGGAGTTTTGAGTATATTACTTTTGTTTTAAGTTTAATTTATTTGGTTAGAAACTTTATATAATTTAATTTTAAGAATTAACAACTGTTTTTCAAAATTCCTGCAATTGTACCATTCATTTATTTTCTTAAAAATATTTTTTCCTTATTGATTTTAGAAAGAGAAAGGGAGAGGGAGAGAGAGAGAAATAGAAACATCGATGAGACAGAACATCGATTGGCCGCCTCCTGCATGCCCCCCACTGGGGATCAGGCCCATGACTTGGGCATGTGCCCTGACTGGGAATCAAACCAGTGACTTCTTGAGCCACACTGGCTGGGCGTACCATTCACTTCTTTTGAGCCAGTGTGGACTGGCTCTGGCATGCTGCTAGATCAGACCCTCCCTACTAAAGGTAGAGGAAGTACTGAGCTGCAACTTTTGGTGATCACGTTACTAAGACAGATACTCACTAAACCAATTAAGTTCTGAAATGGAGTTCTAATTTCATTTTCCATTTAATATTAGGATTCTGTAGCAGGAACGCCTCGTCTTTTCCCCTTAGTATGTGAATAATTTACATATCATTGTAAAAATGATGGTATTCCTAATATTCTCATGGTGGGTGAAAAAAAAGGTCACACAGACACTAGAGTTTCAATACAGGACAGAGAGGTAACCACCTTCATGGTGTCATCTGCAATGAGAGCCCTTATAGACAATATAAGATCTGAGGGAAAATGGAGTATTAAAGTGATAAGAACTTAAGTTTTAACCTTGGTTTTTGTATCCTAATTCAGTGGTTCTCAACCTTCGTAATGCCACACCCTTTAATACAGTTCCTCATGTTGTGGCAACCCCCAACCACATTATTTTTGTTGCTACTTCATAACTGTAATTTTGCTACTGTTATGAATTGCCATCAGAAATACGTGTTTTCCGATGTTCTTAGGCAACCCCTGTGAAAGGGTCATTCGACCCCCAAAGGGACCACAACCCACAGGTTGAAAACTGCTGTCCTAATTGGACCGGTGGCCTGTCTTCTCTATTCTGCATGATTTTCCCTGTTTTGCTGCTCATATTATTATACACAAGATAAAATTCAAACTGTATATGTTGACCTTGTTCATCCTCTTTCCTATATTCCTTCCCTTTCTACCCAGAGTGGGATGGTTAGTAGCCTTATGTGGTTGAAGAGAGAGTGCTTATAAGAGCCAGAGATTGGAACCAGTGTCCAGTTAAGAGGCTAATGCAACCGTCCTTGAGATCTGTGATGAGGGCCTGACCGAAGGTAGTCACAGGGATACCTGAGTGAAGAGACTAGATTGAGAAACAGTTGTAGGAGTCAAACCTGGTCAAACCATCACCCATGGGGCACCATGAAACTTTACTTTCTACCTGGATATGTCAATTATCTTACATGACAACCAGAAGAAATTCTTCCACAGGTCCATCTCCTATTCTGTTACAGTGGTGTCAAAAAAAATGCTAGATTTCTACTTCCCTTCACTGAACCATAACTACTCACTCTGTCAAGAGCCAGAAGCCTTGAATTTTCTCTCCAGATGTCTTGGTTATGTGGTCTTTCAAGTCTTCCATGGCGGTCTCAATGGCCCCCGGCTGAGTGGGAAAAAGAAAATACCTAGTTTAGGGAAGACTGAGTACTGTTTGTGCTTGTGATTAGTTATTATAGTTCTGCAACTTCTCCAAAAAGCTGAGCAGGAAATATAGTTCTTAGATTGGCCTATTTGTTCTAGGCACTATCTGCTGGAGGACTTAGCCTTGAACCCTGGTATTTACTAAGCTGCTCTTCTTGGGTGAGACAAAAGTGATCAAATCCTCCTTCCATGATCGTACTCCCCCTCTCTCACAGAAACAAAGACAGACACTCTCAGAGGGCGAGTTCTTCTGAACCAACACGTGTATAAGAAGTTCAAAGCATTTAGCAATCTACACATTTTTAAAGTCAAACCTTTCTCTCTTCAAAGAGAACATGGCAATAAAACACGAAAGAGAAACCTTCTTCCAAAGTTCTGACTATTATTTTAGCTGTCTCTAAGAAAGAGACTTGTCTGTTTCCTTACTTCACTTTCTGCTCCCTTCTCTAAGCAGGTGTCCTACATATGGGCCTACCGCTAGTATAACATGGATCAATCCCTGTCCTGATTGGGAATTTGTAGATCCTCTAGCTCAGTGGTTTTTTAAAACTGCAGAGCACATCAGAATTACCTGAAGTGTGTTTTAAAACACAGATGCCTAGGCACGGTCCCCAAGTTTCTGATTTAGTAGGTCTGAAGTGGGCTTAAGAACTGGCATTTCTGTCAAGTTCTCAGGTGATTCTGTTGCTGTGAGACCCTACTATGAGCGCCATTGATCTCTCGAGAGCCATTCTCCACCTTAGCTGCTCATCAGAACAACCAGGGAAGCTTTAAAAGACCCTAATGCCCACGCAGTGCATCAGGCTAATTACATCAGATACTCAATGGATGGGACACACATATCAGTCCTTCAGTATTTTTTCAAGTACCCAGATGACTCCAATGTGTAGACAAGGTTGAGAATGAATGACTACAGCCTAGAGCTTATTTAGACTAAGCCATTTCCTTTTATAGGTGTAGAAAAACAGGGACCAGTGTGGGGGAGTAACTTGTCAAGTTCACTCAGCTAGGAAATGGCAGATACAAGAAGCCGAGACAGTCCATTTCTGTGCCCACAATGCAGTGCTTGCCTCATTCCCAAGTCTGGGTTATGGGGTTATTGCAACTTTTCATATATTCTCTATATAATAGGGCTTTAATACTAAATGCCTTCTTTTCTCTCTATATTAACATTCCTAATACTCCCAGCCTGAGACCCTTCTCTCACAAAAGGAAACAGGGACCCTGGCTAGGACCCACTCAAATACCGTTTCCTCCCAGAGGTGGGGTGGTGGTGGGTTTTGGTGAGTTTGTCTTCTCAGTCTATGATAAAAAGCTTTCAACATTTTAGACACAGAGTCCATTGATCAAGAAATATTTTATATAAGAATCCATATGTGAAAAATAGGAACAGAATGGAGCTGCCTCAAATAAGTGGGGGTAGAGGTATAGCGCTTTACTTACATGGCTCGTCCCTTCCTCCAATGCCCTGCACACAGCCCACGTTAGCCAGGAAAGGGACAGGCCGACCCCTCAACAGAGCTGAGTGACCGGGGTTCGTATTCCAGAGCTGCTGTGAATGAATTCTGTGACTTATAGACAAGTACTGTATTTGACTTTCCTTGGCCTCTGCCTTCTGATCTAAGTAGGAGGCCAAACAAAGCTTTCTGAGACAAGTTGGTGATCAAAACCTCCTTGGCATCTTTAAGAATAGATGATCGTAGCCCTTATACCAAGAGATCTGGATTCTATCATTTTAACAAGTTTCCTGTTGAGTTGGGTGGTCAGACAGTAAACTGAATGACTTCTGACCACCCCCTGCTGCTAGTGAAGGGCTGTCAGAAAGCTCCCACGCCTAGCAGCCCCGAATGCCGTGGACCCGGTGACGTTCTGACCCCCCTGCCGCTAGTGAAGGGCTGTCAGAAAGCTCCCACGCCTAGCAGCCCCGAATGCCGTGGACCCGGTGACGTTCTGACCCCCCTGCCGCTAGTGAAGGGCTGTCAGAAAGCTCCCACGCCTAGCAGCCCCGAATGCCGTGGACCCGGTGACGTTCTGACCACCCCCTGCCGCTGGTGAAGGGCTGTCAGAAAGCTCCCACGCCTAGCAGCCCCGAATGCCGTGGACCCGGTGACGTTCTGACCACCCCCTGCCGCTAGTGAAGGGCTGTCAGAAAGCTCCCACGCCGAGCAACCCCGAATGCCGTGGACCCGGTGACGTTCTGGGACGCCAGTCAGAGTCCTCGAGCTGCCACTGACAGGAGGTTGTGCCAACATCACTGGTTTGCAGTGACCGTACTGGAAGACTGGACAACCGCGGAGGGACATTTCCTATGATCCCATGACAATGGTCCCATTACGCAACCTCAGCTCCCACGGTGCGGCCTGACTCTACCCGGCCTGCTGATCAAATTCTCTAAAAAACAGTATTTTCTATAATGACTTATCATGGGTATTTTTCCTGTCTCTTCCTATATTCACATAATTTCTGCCGCAGTTAATATAATTTGGTGTTGGAATCAATACTTTACATTAGGAAAAAAAAAAAAAAAACAGACACACACAATGGAATGGGAAACTAATGAAATAATCCTAAAATAAGTATTTTGTTGAATGCTTTTATGCCAGGCACTTTGCCAAACAATATTTGAAAATGAATATAATAATGTAGAATTTTGCAAAACCTTACTTGTATTCTTTATGGAAAGCAGTTGGCAAAATCTATCAAAATAATTTATTCTTTGTTTTGCACATTACACCTCTGTGAAGTTATACTACAGATATTCTTGCATATGTGCAAAATGACATGTATACAGTGTTCTTTGCAGTCTTGTTTAGGGATGGCAAAAATTTGGAAGCAACCCAAATATCTATCAATAGGAGACTAGTTACCTATATCACGGGATACATCTACACAAGGAAATATGTTAAATATATTTAAAAGAGAGGAAACTTGTATTAACATGAAACGATTTTGAAATATATTATTAAGTGAAAGAAAAAAATGTTCAGAAGAGAGGGTAAATATGCCACCTTTCGTATAAACAGGAGTAGAAGAAATAAGAATAAACGTGTGTTTGGTTGTATATCGAAGGTAACTCTAAAAGGATATGTAGAAATGTTAACAACGGTTCTCTAAGGGTGGGGAAGGAATTCGATGGGTGGGGACTGGGGATAGAGGTGATGTTTTACTATATACTTTTCAAAAGTTAAATGGTAAAAATAAAGGATGTTCGTTACTGAATGGTTTGGAAGTCTCTGGGGTTCTGTCAATGTCCTTCCTGTCTGTGATGTTATTCCTGAAGTATAAACACTGGCCATGTCCTTAAGGAACAGTTATACATGTACTCCAACAAAGTACCTTACTGTCCTCCATTTGCTATTATTGGTACCATAATAATTAACTTCAACCACTTAGAGTTGGAAACGAAATAAAAATGTGTGTGAACGCTTTGGCTCGTAGTGAGGACAAGGGATAAATCTCAGCCCTTCTGCTCGCTGTGAGGCCCACGTTAAGTCATGTCGTCATCCTGTGTATCAGTTTACTCATTTGTCAGGTGGGTAATGTTAGTTGTAACAGAGCCATTGGGAGACGCCAAAAACATTTGGTAATTTGATAGCACTGAATAATAAAAGATTGCATTATCATTCTTATTGATAATATAAATTAAAGGTAAATAGTTATACCAGGATTTGGGGATCAAATGGTTATTGCAATGGAATAGTTAGTTCTGAGACTCCTTATAGCCTAATGGAAAATGATGACAAAATAATCTCTACTCATCATCTGATGAAAGAAATCTTATCAAAGCAATACACATATAGTTCTGATTCTAAATTTTAACAAATAAATCATTGGAGGGAACCTTTATTTTTATGTATTTACTTTTTTTTTTTTTATCCTCACCTGAGGACATTTTTCCATTATTTGTTCAGATAGAGTGGGAGGGAGAGAGAGGAAGAGAGAGAGACAGAAACATCAACGTGAAAGGGACATATCAAGTGGCTGCCACCTGCACGACCAACCAGGGCCGGGGACAAACTGCAACCGAGGTACATGCCCTTAGCAGGAACTGAACCCGGGTCTCTCTGGACCACAGGCCGATGCTCTAACCACTGAGCCAAACCGGCCAGGGTGGGATCTTTGTTTTTACGTCACTGTATAGCATAATGGACAATATCTTCTTTAATAGTCTAGTACTGAATATCCTCGTCAAAACAAATCTACTGAGAGAATTTCAAAGACATATGTCTTTGTTCCCTTGCTTTTCCTTGAACTAGACTAGCCCGGAGCCAGTTGTCAGACAAAGGATACTCAAGTCTGCTGCTAATTTCCCCCCATGTACTGTACTCCTTAACTAGATAGTGAGAGGAGGGAATAGAAAGCAATGCTCCTGGGGACTCAGATACAAGGACAGCTGTCTTGTGGCTGTCATCCTGTGATCATGCCCAGACAGGATTGCTTTGTGGTAAACACACAAAGTAAGAAAACCATCTCTAAGTTGTAATGATTTGTACAGTCCAAGTAAATGTGTCTTTCCCTGAAAATGAAGGAAATACATCCTATTTTATTATTGTTAAGTCTCTGCCGTTAGAAAGAAACATCATCTTTATTATACTCTTCAAGGGATTTTAGGATAAGGAGGGGAGTTGAGAAAACTTTTGCCCAGTGAGATATATAATTTCTAGACCAGAAAGAGGTTCATGCAGACAATTACAATACAACTAATATATTTAGTTGTTCCCAATGCAAAAGCAAGACGCAGGGAACCCTACAGTAAGAGAAGAAGGAGAGGGAGAGAGTGCGAAAGCCAAATTAGTGTCATGAGAGCAACGACATCTTGCTACACAATGGGAAGTCCCAAACCTGCTTATTAGAGTCTCGTTGCTCACAATAGAACATAGGCTATAAAAAGGCCATGGGGAACCATTCATTAAATATTAAAAGATCAAATAGTTTTCATCCCAGTCGTTTATATGTAATTTACATTCTCAAGTATAAATTTAGAGATAATTCTCCATCCCTGATCGCTTTCAACTTTCTGATAAGGTATCTGCAAATATAGAGTCCTACAGGGAGTTTAAAAATATCTTTCCCCATGTGGATCAAGCATTGTTTCTTTCACAAGAAGTTGTCTTTGAATGTGTCTCCATAATCAAATGATTACCCTAATATACCTCGAGCGATGAGCCTTGAGGAGTCCTTTGTTCAGAGGAGGCACTCGGCTTTTCGAGATAGAGCTAAGCAATCGTAGCTGATGAACCATAAGAGGAGGAAAAGGTTATCCAAGCTGATGAGAGGCCCCAGGTACCCTTGAGAAACAAGGTGGTCTCTACTGTCACAGCGCACAGTCCCCAATTTTGTCCCCAGCTGTTGTAGCCTATGAGCTAACCACTCCCCTGTTGACGAGAATGTTGGAAGACTGGGAAAGAAGACTTCTAAGTAGGAAGGAGAGTTCAAGACAGAGACAGGTACTAAAAACCACTGAAGCAGTTTCTATTGATTCAAATGCTAGAAGTTTAAAACATCATGTTTTTCCATCCAGATATACACACCTCACCCTCATTACCCACCCATCAATTGACTTTCCCAGCTGCAATGCATAGACAGTGCACTGGGCTCCAGACTGCAGCTCCAGGATTGAGATGTGAAAGCCCCTCCCCCACACTGTCGTGCAGCATCCCGATGTAGACCCTGATGAGGTTCAGCACATTCTCAGCAAGCCTTTCCACTTCACCACCCATGTTTACAAAACATAACAAATATCCACTCTGGGCTCACAGCTTTACATCTCAGCTGCTCTGGGTTTTCTCTCCATAGGACATTAATTTGTTGAAGTCAGGTTTGGCATAAACACAGGACCGAGGAGGTGAAGATGCATGGACACTAGTGGACCTGCTTCTCCTTGGCACTATCTGGTGATCAAAAACACACTCTCTTAATCTCTCTGAAATTTAGATCCTTCCCTTGTAACATGGGGGTAAAAATATCTACCTCACAGTTATTGTGACTATTACATAAGATAACAAATATGAAAACACTTGGTAAAACATGAGGTATATAGAAAGACAGGAGTTTTTTAAGGTCTAGCATTTAAGAGCACCAGTGATTTTACCCGTGTAACAAAGTACTTCCGTGCGATATTAATCCGGTGATAAGGATTAGGGGAGAGTGTGGATTCAGTTACACTTGGCTGCCTTGAAATCTGCGTTGGTCCTGGGTCCCCTTCTTCCATGGACAGTTGATCAGTCTCTGAGGGTTGGTCATCTCCCTCTTGTTTCAAAGACACAGGCTGGAATCCTTCAAAACTCCTAATCGTTGACATTTCTTTAACTTAAAACAAAGGACAAAACAATATCGTCAGTAAAGAAACAAGTCACCTGGCTCTGACAAAATAGGTACACCAGTAAATGATGTTCCTGAAACTGGCAAACCCCACACACATTAACTAAACAGACTGGATACACTGGATACAATTCAGTAACTCAGACTGCACAGTGCGGGAGGCTATTCCCTGCACAGAGGAAAGGACGCTACCAGACTTTGCTTTTTCATCTTTAATCCCCTGGTACAGGAAGTTGGATAGGGGAAGAGCTATGTGAAACAATTGGACAATTTTGTTAGAAATTTCATAGCATTTTTGCCTAAAAACCCACCAGCCTGCAAGCTTACTTAAGAGTTAAAGGCAATGATAATGCACTTTCTTTTGTACTTCTTGGGTAGTAATAGGGTGCAAAAGCACTTAAAACTGAGCATGTTTTAAGCTGAAACATGGCAATCCTAAAAATGTATCATAAGGAAATAATTCAGACAAATCCTCAAAGACATAAATATAGAAGGTTGTTCTCACAATATCTATAGTGTCTAATAGCAGAAAAATGCACAACTTTAGGTCTAATAGCTAAACATTACATGCATATAATAGAACATTATATACTAACACAACATTGTATTTATTACCAAAAAGAAAACTACATAGTGAAACTAAGTACTATCCATTGGGAACTGGCTAAATAAGATATGTTATACCATACAGTGAAATACAATGTAGTCAGTGAAAATGTAAGCATATATTTTTATTATGTAAAGATGTCCAAAATATATTGTTAATGAGAACATAAGTTATAAAATATTATAAACAATGTTATTCAAATTTGTAAAATAATTCTGAAAGAAAGAAGAGAAAAGAAATAATATTTGGTTTTATGTACATACATGTATGGTATGAGAGAGGTTACAAAAAGTCTGAAAAGATGTAAAATGAAACATTAACAATGACTGTCTCCGGATGATAGGGTTTCGAATAATTTTTATTTTTCGTTTTGATAAGTCTCTAGATGCTTAAAATGGTCATACAAGAATGGGCAAAAGAAGTTTCGTAGTTGTTTGTATGGGAAAAGACAATAATACAATAATTAATAAATAATAATATAAGAATAAATTGTAAACCTACTTTTACCCACCCCTATGTATGACCTAAAATAAATAAAAACACAATAAGTGTATTTCTATTTTGTAAGTATAAAGCAACACAAAACAAAAGTCACACGATGACCTAGTAAAAAGTGCCCCTAAATCAGGTCTCCATTTTCAGTCTGAGGCCGATAGTCATCCCCATAGCAAGCACACTCCCATTGTCACAGGAGGGAGGGTCTCCCACCCAGCTTCACCACACACCTGGAGTGCCATCCTGGTCTCAGCTCTGCCTCTGTGTTCTTAGTCAGATAAATTCAGACCCCTCGGTTCTTGTGAAATACCAGAAAGTGAGAGCCAACCCCTATTCCCAGCAGGTTTACATTCTTGAAATTGGGATTAATCAGAGTATCCAGAGGAGATGAAAATAGTATGAACATATACTGTGTTGCCTAAACCTGGACTCCTTTGAGAGTGAACAGGGTGCTATTAACAACTATACCAGGATGATGGGAATAAACTGGGATTGTCTCGGGCAAATGTGAATATAGGGTCATTCTGAGGGGTTTGAATGTAGGAGAAAACACAGTTGGTTAGACGTCGTGAATCCAAAGCCCTCTGTGATCACATTACAGGTTATCTCACCTGATCCGCCCAGCAAGCATTGGAGGATACCTGCATCTCCATGTCTTGGGGGAGCACAGACTTGGGTACTTTCAGAAACACTTGGATAATTATAGCAGCACACTCACCCAGGACTCCCAAACACACTTTGTTTCCATCATGCCCACCATGATACACACTATTTTATTTTATTTAAAAAATTTTTGTTTTTCTTTATTGATTTTTGGACAGAGAAGAAGGGATGGGGAGAGAGAGATGGAAACACCAATGAGAGAGCACATCAACTGGCCGCCTCCTGCACGCCCCCCACTGGGGGTTGGGCCCACAACCTGGGCATGTGCCCTGACGGGGAATGGAGCTGGTGACCTCTCAGTGCATGGGGTGATGCTCAACCACTGAGACACACCGGCTGAGCAATATACACACTATTTTACACCAGGAAGAGATTTGCTGGACTTTCCAGTAATTTTTTAAAGTTAGGTCTACAAAAAAGCAGAGATTGACTTCTGTAAAATACAAAGAACACATAAGGAAGTAGAAAAAATCCAGTGTGTCTGTGAGAGACAGAGAGAGAGAAAATGAAAGAGATATCAGGGAGACACTGGCTTCCCTGGCAGCTACATGCTCTGTTTATGCAGGTCTGCCACCTCTGAATCAGTGGGTGTTGGAAGGAAGTGCATTTCCAGAGTTCCCTGTAACCTGTGAAGGAAGGTTTGTGCCTTTGGGCATGGAAAGCTTGCTTCTGTATTTGCTGCACTCTGTGAACAAGCACCGAACAACAGACATCTGCGAAAGACTTCTGTGCCTGGAAAACAGAGGGAGGATTTAATTAACACCACTTCCTCTCCCTCAGGCTGTCTTCTCTGGAAACACTTGAAGAGGAGCAGAGAGCCCTTTAGAGACAGAGCTGTTTGAGATTCAGGAAAGAAGGAAACTCAGCTCCACTTAAATTCTAATAGGCATGATTAGCAGGAAATGTGGACCCAACCACCTCAATCCAAAATGATTCCAGCTCTGTTCTAGTCATGGGGACTTCTTTGCAAGGACATGTAACTTCTTCATCAACCTCCCTCATAGCAGAGGAGCAACATGTATCTAAGCAGCCCATTCCATTCTTTATCACCACCTGCCCAGTATTTATTCCCAATTCAATAAAATGTGCCCTTCTATTGTTGCAAAAATAGTCTATATACATTCAAATACTAAAAGCATATTAATACTGGTAACAAATGCAGCCAAATCCAAATGTTTCTACCGCTTACATGAATAAATTTTGCCTTGCAACAGAGCCATTTAGAATAGAAAATCATTGTTCCCTAAGACTGCTCAGCAAATTTATAAGTACTGCTAAAGAGAGTACAATTTCTAACAGAAGCAAAGGGTCAAGGCTTAGAAAGAAAATTATGTTCTTCCTTCTTCACCTTATTTTCTCATTCCAAAAAATTCATGTAGTGAAAATTATCCTAAAAAAGGAAAAGAGTATAATATTGCTTACTGTGGGTGGTAATGAAAAGTTGGAAATGAATTAAATACCTAATGGTCAAAAAATCACTAAGTGTATCTAATCAATACTCTGCAAACATTTAAAATAATGTGGGCATGAGAATCCAAGATGGCAGCAGAGTAGATGGAAGCTACACTTACCTCCTTCTAGGATCAAACTGGAGTTACAACTAAATCATAGCACAATCATCCTGAATAACGAACTGAAGACTAACCAAGGATTTACAGAAGAAGCCTCATCGAGACTGGTAGGATGGGCAGTCCTCACTCCCACAGGCATCTGAGGTCCTGGAGGTATATCTCAGCTGCAGGGGGGGTTCTAAATCCCAAGCTGGGCTCCCCATCTTGGAGCACCAGAGCTGAGAAGGTATGCCCACATGACATCTGGCTGTAAATAGCAGCTGGATTTCTGTCAGTCAGGGAGAGACAGAGGTCCACTAGAGACACAGGTGCCCTCTTAAAAAGCCAATGCACAAAATTTCACTTGTAGCCACTCACTATGGACTTTGGCAGAGGGAAGGTGGAAAGGACTAGAGTCCCATGAAAAGATTCTGGGGTTTGTGGCTCTGGGAAGGGACCTGAGGGGACTTACACCCTGCTGAGGAGTCAGCTGCTTGGCTAGGGTGTCGAGATCAGGGAAAACTTGAGAGGGTGTCAGTGACTGAGTTGAGTGGCTTTGGGGTGGGTGCCATTCTCCTCCCCTCCTTTCCAATGAATGTAACTGGAGCTTCCTCCTCATAGAAGATCCAATAGAACCACCCTGTGGGCTTCCCAACAGACCCCTTCTCCAGGCTTTGAAAGCACCACCCACCTGACTCTTAGTAACTCCACCCTACTGAGGTCTGGGCAAAGTACAGGATAGACTGAGTGATGTAGTTCTAGGGTAGAGACACATCCCCCACCTTCCCTGAAGGCTGACCAACACCTTCTCCTCACAGGATAGCTACTTTCCCCTATCTGGTGACTCACTGTGAACCTACCTCGTGCAACTCAAGTACCACCAGATGCTCTTTTAGTGACTGCCCCTAACAGGCAGCTGGCAGATGGAGGAAAGCAGAGGCAGACCTTGGGTTGCTTGGGAACTTTGGCTGACCTGCCCCGGTCCTGGTACTGGTAAAAGCAGGCCTTGGTGCATAGCTTGGTCCTTCTCTTGCATGCTCAGTCTTAGCAGAAGTAGCCACAAACTGTGGATCACTTGTAGCTCCAAACAAGTTGCCCAAGATCAGTCACAGGCAGCATCTGACACTAACCTGCACCAGAGTCCCTCCCAAAAGACCCAGAACCAACACACCCACTGACCAGTTTCAGACAACATCAGAGGAACCAATAAGCTTCACAAGCAGCATATCCAAAGGGAGATCTCAGAAGGCACCAAACCCTGATGAGGCGAATTCTGCTTTGTGTGGTCAGCACTTGCACAGCAGCTCACATGCCATGGTTGGGGATGAGCCTCACAGTGAGCCAGCCTGAAGGTAATCTCAGGTATCAATGTGCCAATAGCAATCAAGACTCAAATGCAACAGGAGGGCCCACACAAAGGATGTTCCTAGAGCACCCAGCTCAGATGATCAAGGACACTTAACCAGTGGACCACATAGGACACCTACTACATAAGGCCACCCCAGAAAGACTGAGAGTCATAGCAGATCTATGTAGTACATAGAAACAAGCACATAGAGGCAGCCAAAATGGTGAAACTAAGAAACAGGCCCCAAATGAAAAAACAGGAAAAAGTTACAGAAAATGAAATGGAGGCAAGCAATTAATCCAATATAGAGTTCAAAGTAATGGTT